AGACTGTTTTCCCACCTGTCGAAGAAGCAACTATAATACTTCTAAATGGTAATTTTGGCACGTGCTCATATTTAGATTGTTTGAATTCATATTCAGTTATGTTTATTGGCTTTATTATTGGAACATCTGACATAATAAAATAATATTAAAGTTATTTAGAAAATATTTTATATTTATTATTTTATATGAATAGAAGCTATTCAGATTATATTGATATAATAGATGAAGTAGAGAATTTAGAACAAGTTGTTATAACTGATAATAGATGCAAGAAAGTATGCTATTTTGTTTTAGAAATAATTAAGTTTATGATACAATATATCAAAAATAAAAATGTAAATATTAATATAAATGGGAAGAAAGAAAAAGAATAAGACTGAACCAGTTGTTTCTTCAACTGATGAAGAAAAAGAAGAAGTTGTTAAAGAAACATCAGTTATTGAGTTTGCTTGTCCAATGTGTAAAAGAATATTAGAAATGAAAAATGAATTAGAAATACAAAAGAAAGGAAATTGTAAATGTTCGTGTATTCCAGCCAGTTTCAAAATAAGTAGAAATGATAAGAAAATGAATATTGATAAAGCTAAAGACAGTATCAACTTAGAAACAGATGTTCATAATATTGCTATACGCTTTGGGAGGGGAGTTACTCCATCCGATAATGGTGATAAGGAAACTCAGGAAACTATTAAACAAATGATGAAAAATTAGTAATTAAAAAGTAGATTTAACATAATTTAAACATTTAGTTTTAAAAGTTTTATTTTATAATATAATATATATATATTTACATGGATGAAGGATTAGAAAAGATGGTTAAAAAACTGAACAAGGTTTTAGAACAGAATAAGAATATTTTAGAAATCTTGCAAGAAATGGAAAAGAAGAAACCGCTAACAAACAGTTATCAAAGTAAAGAAGTAGATCGAACCAATGGTGAATATAAAAATAAAAGAAATATTTATTTAAACAAACTTAATAACAAAGAAATTAAAGAACCGAAGGCTTCAACTATGACATTTTATCAAATTGACTATGATGAAGATACAGGGGTTTATTCTTGATTGAAAACATTTTTCTCTGAAAATCCGTTTAAAGACATATTGGCATAACTAAGATTATGAGTTCTACAGATGACGAAGAAGAAACAGGATACACAATGGTTTATCCTTGCAGTAAATGCGACGAAGCAAAGCCAAGAAAGGACTTTCACAAAATGTATGACAGAATTAAAATGGAAGAGATATTTTACAAAACATGTAAGGAATGCAGAGACAAAGTAAAAGCAACAAAAGAGTTAAGGAAGGAACAGAAGAAACGAATACAACCCCTGGAAATACATAGATTAAAGCCTTTGATACCATAGTTTTGCTATACTTACAACATGTAAGATCTTATATGTTGTAATTATAATTCGCTTGATTTAAAAGTTTCCCTGAAAATGTATTTAAAGAAATATTACCTTAATATAATAAGAGGAAAATGAACGATGATAAAATCAATAATTATATCAATAAAAAATGCTATGATTGTTGTCACTTCAAAAAAGAAAATATGGAATTGTATAAATTAAATTTGCCTATTGAAATAGTGAATATTATTATTAATTATTCAATGGATGAAGAAGATATATGCGAAAATTGTAAAACCTGGAGAGATAACCAAGCTATAATCAATTGTGTGTTGAGAAAAAAAATAAGACATAATAGAAATGTAGAAGATGACATTTTGATATTTTTAACTGTAAATAAAATACCACCTTATGAATATGTTAAACAGTTTCTTAAAATCAGTAAGAAAAATATGTAATGATTGCTGATATATTATTGATGTTGTGTCATAGTCAAAAGAAAGGACAAGATATTAAAGAATATATTAAATTTTATATTGAAATTTATAAAAAGTTTAATGTTAAAAATACAGTGAGAGATATTAATATTATTTTTAAAATGATGTATGAAAGAAGTAATATTTGTCAATTAAATTATTATCCTGTACTGAAATTGTAATCATAATATAATAATAACATATAAATGTTTATATGTTATAATTATAGTTAATTTTCCCGTATAAGCCGTGGGGGTGCTTTCCTACATAGGCCTTTCCCATCCGCATATTGCCATCCATATTTTACTGGATTATTTTCAAGATTTGGGTTAACGGTTTTAATTCTCCCTTTTCCATTGGTTAACCATTTTTTGGGGAGTGATAATTATTTGAAAACAGGGTTGTAGCCATCTAAAGGCAAGGTGTCCTACTAAAGTATGGAGAAAAAACTGTGTTCAAGATGTAGATACGAGAAAGGTGAAGATAGTTTCGTGTATGGACTCAAAAACTGTGATAAATGCACTGATCAAAAACGAGACTACAACAAACGAACTGTAGACAAGAGGAAAGAATACCGGAAACAGTATCTTGAAGCAAATCGCGAGGAAATTAATCAGAAGCGTAGAGAGAAAACAGCGAATAATGGATATTTGTATTGCCATGTTTGTGAAAGAAGAGTGAACCCAGAAATTTGGGACTTCCATTTGGTTGGAGGTTGTCACCAAGATAATATACTCAAACACTTGAAAGCAGATTATGAACGATTAGTTGAAGAAGCACCTACACAAGAATTCAAGGACAAATATTTTCAAGAAGGTCAAGAGAGGATACAAGAACTCAAAATGACAATGCCTTTGTATAATCCAGCTTTGAGAAGAAAGAAAGTTGATCAGGCTGATGGTGATAAATTGGATTAAAAAATGAAGTTAATCATTAGAAAAATAATGTTCTAATGATTAACTTAGAGGGTTGTTCAATTTGGTGGTTTTGAATGGTGCAATTTGATAGGTGTATGTAAAAAGTGCTCAAAAGTGTAGGGGGGGGGTGGGAAAAAATGCCATCCGACGGACGGGAGAGGCCGGGTCTAACTCTAAATGGATTGATCAGCGAACATGTATATGTCAAACCGACCCCTTAAAGGTTGGAAAAGGGGAGTGATATCAATATTCCATTTAGGGCCTCCAGTTTTGAGGATGGGTAACTTTTCATTACCATGTGGTTGAACATACATTTATATGTTTATTGAAATATCACATTTTGTTGCGTGGTTTCCCAACCAATTGCCAATGGTCCTCAAAATTAGACAGAGAGAGAGAGAGAGAGAGAGAAAGCACTAGCAGCCCAAGACCTCGTAAAATTGAGGCTTTTGGGGCTTCAAGGCCCTCATATTCCGGGCTCGAGCTCCTAGGGCCGAGTGGTTTCTTGGAGGTGGTTTGGTGGTTGGGTTTCCATTGAAGCCACCAGCTAAACTTTTAGCAGTGGGGACAGCCCGGGTTCATTAAACAGTATAGTTCATCTATCCCAACTGGTGCGGATTGAATTTGTCCATCCACAGTCTGAAGGCTAAATAACTACGCGGTGCACGGCGCGCATATGGCCGTGGTGTTTGACCACAGTGCATACCCCTTCAGTTTAAGTTTGAATTCCATCGGCTCTTCGTCGCTCCTACTTCGTTTTCGAAATTATAGGAGGTAACACAGACGATTTCGCCTTAGCGAACCACACATCTTCAGCAGCTGAGACACAACTAGTCGTTTGTTCACGTAGGTCACTCTCACTGCAGAAAAACGCACTCTGCCAAAACACATGGTCGTGGGTCAAAACCTAAGGTGCCTTTTTGGGGATGGTTACCACTGTTGTTTCTTTAGAAGGCTTTCTGGGTGACCGGGTTTCTATGGGGTTTGGACCCATGGCCACCTATATGTGGCCTCAGCGAAGCAGCCCTTCACACTGCTTTGGTTCCAGTGTTTCCCGCCTGAGAGCTTCCAACAAACACCGCAAACGCTCGTGAGCATGGAATGCCGAACCTTGGCGTTGTCACCTTGCATACCGCAAACTCCTCATCCTTTAGGAATCTGAAAAAATATAAACGTACATAATACATTGGCAAAAGGAAGATCCGGCAAACATTACCGTGCTCTTTGTACGGGTTAACAAATAAGGATAAAAGTAATAATAATAATTTGCAGAAGCAATAACGGCCGACAATCAAGTGATCCACACCGGGGCGAGGTTCATCCCTAGCTGTGCTTTTTTTCCGGAAGTTAGCCGAAGTGAGAGTGCCCAAATTTGTTGGGAGATCGCCTGTCTCTCTCATTGTCTACTGAGGTGATTCAGCTTGATGGCACCCCACAACCTTCCTTGTAGCCATTTTCCAATGATGGAAGATGCCTTTTCAAGAGGATAGTCCGTGATGGTCTTCCAAAGCCCTTCACTTTTTTCCACAATTGTGGAAACAAAGTGCTCTCCCATCCACACTATGGGACCAGGCTGAAAGACAATTTCAAGGGAGCTGGTGGATTCCATGGTTGGGAGAGGGCATCCAATTGTTCAGCACCTGTGATACAAGGGAATCCCCTTTTATATGGAGGGTTAGTCTTTGACAGGCCCTTTTTGTTGTATCACAGAAGTGGATTCCGTTCCAAGCACAGCCCTGTTCAGCACTGCTGTCTTTTGCCTCTAGCCCGCAAAGCGAGAAGAGCCATAGGCAAAGCCCACATTCGGCGCCTCGTAGGCCCAAGGCCCAAGGTGAAAGATGCGAAAGGCCAAATTGAAAGCCCAAGGTCAGGGCCTGGATAATGTTGACCCCGGATTAATGTTGACCCCTGTTTTTATTAATATGGGGGGTGCTTTTCCCTGGTTTTAATCTGGGGATGTATCACTTTTGGAGGGGAAAACACCCCCATATTAATAAACAGGGGTTTATTAATCCGGGGTCAACATAAAAATTATTCGAAGTTTGCTTTTTTCTTTGCAGAGCTTTTGGGTGTTCACTGCGACGGTTGGTCCAATTCCCGTGCTTTGTTGTTTCGTTGGACGCCGAGCTGTGCCTGAAAGCACCCTTCCTGCGGGGAGTTGTAGGAAGGGTTGCGGAGCCTCCAAAGAGTTAATGTTAAAGGCAATGCTTAGCTTCTATCGACTCATATCCATACCCGGAGCTGCATATGTCTCAGGAAGTTGGAGCATTTGCAGAAGGGCTTCATTTCTGTGCTGCAAGAGAGCTTCGATGAGAATCAGCTCTTGAACAAGGACGGGGAAAAGTGATTGCTCCCGTCGTTCAGACAGGTATGGGTTCACTCGCTCAAGGTTGCTTTTCGAGGAGGTCGTGTTGCCTTTGTATGTTTTCAGGTAGCCAGTTGATGGTTTGGATTGGTGGTTTGGGGATTTGAACCTCGGGTTCTTGTAGAGGGTAAATGGGAAACCACCCAAAGAAAATCCAAACCACTGGGCTCCACACCACCAAGTAGAGGAAAACTGAGTTTTAACATAGCTTGTCCATGGGTTTGCGTACACTTCAAGATTTTACCGATCCCTGTAGGGGTTGGGCCAACCTCCTTTTCGCAGGCTTGCCCAAAGACACCCCCTGACTAACATTAGTCCTGGCTGCGGAACAGACAAGGTGGCCTTTGTGACACAAGTTATGTTGTGTTCCCGGGGAACATTGCGTGGTTTTCTTGGATTTACAGCTGTAAAAGCCGCTGTTCCTTTATCCTACCAGATGGTCGTATTTTCCCCTCTCCCCTTTTTGACCCCTTCGTGTTGTGGCTTTAAACCAAAAGACAAGACAAACTGTTGATTTTGCACTGAAATGCAAGACATCCTGCAAGCAGGGGGCAAGGGATATCTATGTATTGTATGGTAGCTTGTGGCATATTTGACCTTTACTTATTCGACTTGGAGAGGCACCTCTTTTTCTTTGTATTTGGGGGGGTCGGTTCTTCCGATCGTCCACCGGTGTCCTAATTTGGGAAAACTCAAAATGGGTTGTTTCTTGGCGGTTTCCCTTTGAAACCATCCAAAAAGCGGTTCACCGCCATTTTGAGAAAGCTCCAGGTACGCGTCCAACTCCCCAAACTACGAAACCAACCACAGTGAGCCGCTTCCGGGAATTTTAAGACATGTCAGTTGTTTTTTTGGTTCGAGGGGACCCCAAAATGGTTTCCTTTGGTTTCCTACACCACCAAAAATAAAGGGGTACCAACTGGCTGTGCGCTGGTAAATGGAACCAAGGACTAGATCCTGCGGCCCAATTCCTGGTGGTTTAAACACCCAACTCAAAAGACGAGAATGCAACCACGCAACCACTCAAAAGGCAAGAAACCAACCCACCCACCCACCCACCCACCCACCCACCCACCCACCCACCCACCCACCCACCCACCCACCCACCCACCCACCCACCCACCCACCCACCCACCCACCCACCCACCCACCCACCCACCCACCCACCCACCCACCCACCCACCCACCCACCCACCCACCCACTTACCCACCAACCTCAAACGACGAGAAACGGAGGTGTCCTTCTTCATCAACTCCATGCTGCCCCAGCTGATCTCCCTGCGCGCCCAGCGCCTCACTGCGGGCGCCGGGCAGGTCCGCAGGGCCATTCACAACAAGTGGCCCCAGGAGAAGCCGCTGAGCCGCAAAAAACGGACCAAAACACCAAAATAACAAAAAAGACAACGAAGAAGTTGAAAAAAAAAAAGACCAGCTGAGTTGCACAAAAAACAAACACGAAGCTCGAAACGGCCCGAAACACAAACAAAACACGTCCATTTCTGCTGAACTTGGGGTGGTTCGGAACCGGCAAATCGGTCGTTTTGTGTTAGGTGTCCAGATGTTTTGATTGGTTTAGTGTTTTTTTTCTTCCAGAATTTAACTCGCTAAAAGTTAAACTTTTAGCAGGGGAGTTGAGAACACACCAATTAAGGATATTTTGATTTTCCCCTGTTGGTCTTAACGGGAGTCTATCACTAATGAATGTTTGCTTTTGTTCAGTGGCTTCAGCAAATGGAAGAAACTAGGTGTGTGTGTTTTTCTCCACACGGGGGAGCCTCAAAACAACACACTGCGGGCTTTTGATGGAAATTCCGGCGGGGAACATCGGTTGTCCAGAAGATTGCGGGTTGTTTGCTTGTATTTATGGGGCCGAGAACGGGCCCTGACACCATCTTAGAAACAGTTGGTCTCCACAGTATTTGCTTCTGACTGACCATACTGGGCAAACCACAGCAATACGGAAAGAATGCTAAACACTTCACTTCAACATCGCGTCAGAGCTGCCTGTAGCAACCTTTTTGCCTCGGACCCAATGTGTGGTCCGCAGGGCTTAAGCGTCGACCGAAACACGAGGCTTGAGCCAATACAGCAATACTGAACCCAATGCTGAACCAGTACTACACCAATACTATACTGAAGCAATAGTATTACTAAGGCAATGCTAAAGTGCTAAAGCGATACTAAAGTAATGCTCTACACTGAACCCTCACTAAGCCAATACTAAAGAGAGAGAGGACAGAAGAGGACTGAAGAGGACCAAGGTATAGTTGGGGGGATCCAACCATCAATGCGCTTTGGGGGACCCCCCCCCCGCTAAACACACACACACACACACACACACACCAAACGCAACCCCTGCCACCAAAACTGTCCGAAAAACTGAAGTTGGGTTTGGGTAGGAGCAGTTTTACAGTAGAGTTGGGGTTGGGAGGAGCCCTCCTTCAATTAAAGCCCTACGCGCCCAAGCCCTCATTATGTCAGGCTGTTTGGGTACAAGACCCTCACATGTAGGGTCTTTGGCTCGGGAAGGGAAGCCAACAGGAGGCCCAGTTGGGGGAAGCAGTAGGGGGAATGCCACAGTAACTTGATTGCTGTTGGGTAAAGGATCTTTAGACTAACTGTTTATCTGAACTCTTTCGGGTTTTCCGAACTGACCCCACCACACAAGTTGTTTTGCACTTGTTGCCAAGGGGTCTTTGCAGCGTTCCCGGTTTTCTTGGTCGCACGGCGCTACTCCCACCTCGGTGGGTCGCTTACGGTGTTCGTCGAAGCTGAGGAAGGGGGGGCTGAAGCTGGACCTGAAGCTGAAGCTCACGGAGACCATGTCCGCCTCCACCCTGTCGGCCGGAGAAGCTCAGCCGAGCGATTTTCGTTTCGACCCCTAAAAACCGGGCGGCTTTCACCGAGCCGTGGCCAAGTCCCAAAGGCCTCAAGGACAGTGCGGTCTTGGACGCATAGACGAGTCCTTTGCAAAATCGCTTCGGCTTGGAAATAGAAACGGGTTCCACTGGGTTTGATGATCGGTTTATTTCCCCTTTTACCAGGAAAGTCCACCTATTTTAAGCCACATGGACATCGCGTTGCTGGCACGCTCCTCGCGAGCGCGCGCTTTTCGGATCCGACCGAAGTTTCGGGACCCAGACTTCCACGGCCACGTTGTCCTGTTTCCAATGGCGGGCGGCCACTTTTTGTGGTTTGATGCCTATCAGCATGTTGGGGTTTGATCAAAATTCCTTTCCCTCCCCCATAGGGGGGGGTAAGACTCAACTGACATTTGTCTTTTGCTGCTCGGCCTTGGGTTTCCTTCGTTTTCGGTTTTGGGGTCTCAAAACCAGGTTGTTTGAGGGCCCAAATCAAGCGCGAGCCTCTGGGTAAGCAACATGCACCATGTGCCAACTCGTGCCGGTAGGATTCGCGCAAGGAATCTTCTCCCTCCTCCCATGGGTCTAGTGCCTTCTCGAACGAGGAGGTGGTGGGTATGACGCTCTATGCCCCTTGGCTCAAGAGCAAACCGCACAAACAATACGTACTCAGGGCCCCATAGCTCCAGTGCTGCAATTCCTCGTCTTGTGGACGGGCGGAAACGGCAAAAAGTCAAGCATCAAGCATCGCTGCTGCCCTTTTTCCACAAACCAACCAAAAAGGTTAGCTTGGTTATGCTGCTTTTAGGTGACCTCTCTCACCTAAGGACAGCAACAAGCTGCTGCTGCTTCCCTTCTTGAAACAAGTTGAACACTGTCTCAGGTAAGAACCCAACCCCTGAGACCCGAAGGCGACCCCTGAGTCTGCGACCCCTTCCTGCTTAAGCTAACCTCCTACCGAGGAAATCCAACAGTTATACAAACGGACAAGGGGCCAAACCTCAAAGCAAGGCTGTGCTATACCAAAACCTTTTCACCTGGGGATTTGTCGGCTTTCGGAGGGGCATAGTCCACAAAGTGCAGGGCGTCGGATCTGTTTGGCCCCAGCTGAACCTCTCTGCCTGTGCCTCTTTACTGGTGCGGTTGGCCGGGAATGACCGTTCCGGGTTTCGGGAATGAAGGGCGAAGGGGAGTCCCTTAAAGGAAACACCAGTTGGATGGTTTTTTAGGTGTCCTTCCCTCTTGCCCTCAGAACCCGCAAGTTTACTGGCTACTTTCTGTAGCTTTGATATGCCTTGAAACCTCTCAGTATGGTGCGAGAGTAGTGGAAACCAGCTTAGAAGCTGTGGGTCAACCTTGTCATGTGGATGACGAAGTCCTCCTCCGAAAAGGGTCAAGCCACGTGCGACTGGCGCCCTCTTAACTCCAGTCGTCGCCAGGAGTTTTTCTGTTCAGACAGCATCAACATCTTCCCCCAGCTGTCGCTGGCTGGCCGGGACTGCCCCGACTTCGAGGCAGGCGACAGGATCAGAAGACCGGAAAGGTTCGGATCTAAGGCATCACCCACGTGGAGAAATCGTGTAGACTCACTCCCTGGACTTTAAGCCTTTGGGAAAACCAGTTGCCGCAAGGCTCCCAATGATTGTTCGGCCCTGAAACTGGGTTGTTTTCAACGGCGCCTTGAGGGGTCCGGGGTCTTCAATGGAGGGCTTCTGAGTTGACTGGCAAGAAAAGAACTCAGAACTTCGCGATGCAAAAATCTGGCAACAACAAGCTTGTATCAACATGTGGAAACTGAACAGGTAATGATCCGCCTTGGTAGACACTTGCAAACACATGCTTAGACTACCTACCATGACATTAGTTGGACAAAGGTGAGCAACCAACATGATTGACATCCTTCTCACTCCCTGAGTGGATTGGCCAAGAAAAAGTCCGAACTGTTTGTTTACCACAAACCCTAAGGCTCATGACCCGTCCAATGCAGGGTCCCGGGCAGGTCAGGTGGAGGTTTTCACGCACGTGTGGTCGAATAGACATGAGACAGGGGTGTCATATGGTTTGCCTTTTAAAGCTGGCGACCAGGGGGATTTCTTGGGGGTGTGTCTTTTTGTAGGGCGCCCCCCAAAATGTCTTGGGTTGTCCTCTTGGTCTCCCTTTAAATCCGCAACAAAGGGGTACGCTCAACAAAAAGACATGCCTAAAGGAAGCTGCAACGACTTGTGCTCAACCCACATCAGGTAGGTTCTAGACATGATCCATGGGACAAGCCCTTGACATACACCAGTCTTTGGTGTACGCCAGCTTTCCGTGAAAGTTCTCGGAGTCTTCCTATAGGTGTGGTGGGTTCTGTGAAATTTAATGGGGGACCCTTGCGTGGACATTTGGCGGGGATTCATGTCCAGCAACCATGTTTGAGGTGGGTCCATGCTATATGAAATTAACGACCCAAAGTGGAGTCCACCCGTCCCATGTCCGCTAGGGTCACCGGGAAATACTTGGTTGGCACCCCACTCTGCCAGGACGTCCGCTCACAGCCCGGCGCTCCAGCTATGCAGCGCATCTCCTTCAAGGAGAGGTTCTGGGAGAATCCGCCGGCTGCTACGTTGCTATGATTTTTAATGGGTAAGCCCCGAAAAAGTGGTCGGTGGACATAAATCCCCACCTACAGGATGTCCACCAAGGGGTCCCTAATTAAAATTCATAGCCATGTGGCTTGGTAAACGGAACCAACGACTAAAACCTGCGTAACCCTAGCTCAAACATTTTGAGCCACACCCATGTGGGTGTGTGCTTGCTTGTACCCCATTTGGGCGCTGCAGGAATGTGCAACATGGTGTCCATTCGCAGTATGTGGATGTGTCTTAAAATTAGAAGCACGTCCCGTGTGATGGTGTCTGACTAGTTAGCTTTCAGGCTGAGTGAATGAATAGCCCCATCTTTGTGAGCAGTTCAAAATCAAGGGCTGCAAGTGGGTGTCCTTTTGATTTTCCTGGCCGTAACCGTCCAAAAGGGGCTCCTGTTTGATCCCCCTCCAACCGATTCGGCCAGCGCCGACAGTGTTCCAAAAAGCTTTCCCAGCGGATTCCATATACCAATAGGAAACCAGCGATTGTCCTTTTAAGGTGGCAAGCCCTTGACCTACCAAGCCAGGCATGTGGATCCACGGCTTCAGGAGGAGAACGGGAAGAAGGAGGAGGTGGTGCAGGAGTTCGACATGACGCTGGACGACTTGGTGAATATCGAGGGAATCCCAAAGTGCCTTCAAGAGAAATCCGAGAAATCGAGCTCGGCCCACATGCCCAAGGGTCAATAGGTTTCATGGCGAGCTTGCCGGGGGGTAAAACGAGCTCACCATGATGTAGCTCCTTTACTTGGGGCTCCCTTACTTCAAATTTCGGGAGCATTGTAATATGTAGATGTTCTTCAGAATTCGGAGGAGACAGCAGCAAGTGTTATTTCTGAGGAATCGAAGGACACATGAAGTGCCGTATTGCCCCAAACTCTTGTTGCAACAATGTTCACATAGTCTTACCCCGGTTTTCCATTCGCAGGGCTCCAAACCGAATTCCGGCTCCGGCTCTCCGTGGGCGTAGGGCTCGGATGTGGTTGCTGAAGCAGCTTTTGGGCCCAAAATGGTGGTGATGTTTCCCTAAGCCAACTGCAATAAGCCCAGGTGGTGTCCCCAGCAGCCCAAGGAACCAAATCTTCTCCGTGAAAGCTGCCCCATGCCACCCCACAAGTCGAGATGTCTGGGCCTGCTGAATGCGCTGTTGGGGAAAAAGGGTGTTTCGGATCCAGTCAAGGGCACACCCTTCATGCGGATCCTCAAACACAGTTTTGACCTACATTGTAATATCAAGGGCCGAAACACGTACGCGCACTTATTCTTCCATGATCATTGGCTTTGAAGTCCTTCATCCCAAAAACTGGGGTGTCATTCATCCCAAGAACTGCCCAAAACCTCCCAAGAGGTACTCCAAGACGCCCGGAGAGATGGTGACCTGGTCCGTGGAGTTGAAAAACGCCCACAACGAGCTGCACTACGCCTTCGACGTCCAGGCGCCCTTTCGCAGGTGTTCAACCGAAGGACGTCACGTGTAAAGGTGCTGACCTGCAAGTGTTGCCTCGTTTGTTGGTTGCAAGTTCGAGTGGGTTGTTACTGACATACCGTTTTGTTCAAGCTCAAAGCCGCGGCCGGGGTTTTGAGCTGAAAAGCCAGCTGGGGAGTTGTTAAACGGTTGTTTGTTGGTGTCCCTTTGCCAAAGTAACGGCATCATTGGCTTGCCCTGGAGTTCAAAAGACAAGGCGCATCATAGACGTGAGACCCGAAGCCTGGTGCGCGATGGAAGAGTGGGTCGACCGGGTTTTAGTTTCCGACCAACCATATTTTCACAGTGCTCTTAAGTCCTCGTGTTTGCTGTTTTTAGAGCTAGTACTGAATAGTACTTGATTCCTTTGGGGTGTGGAACCCAGAATTCCCCCCCCTTCCCATACACAAATCTAAAACACAATAAGTGAACACTTCACATCCTTCGAGGTGAGGAGCCATTCCTTTTGGAGGTTCCAAAACATCTTGGAGGTGTGGACCCCACGCACATCTAGTCAGGTTCCAACCTGGTTGCCAACTAAGCAAGCAGGGTTATAGGTGCATGGAACCCAAAACCGGTCAACCACAAAACACGGCGCGAAACACGCGCGAGGCATCCGATGCGCTCGTTGGTTCGCTCGTCGGTTCGCGTTCCTTATAGGTGCAGGGCAATGCCGCGAGCTTCCGGCATCGCAGCGGGCGCACCACCACAGCCTACAAGCCCAGCGCGGTGTACTTTGTGAATCCGCGGGAGAAGGCGCTAGGGGAAGGTTGGCGCGTCTTCTGTTGGGAACGCGAAAATCACCGGTTCAACGGGACGGCGCAAACAGGCCTCCTTTGTTGAAATGAACCAAACCAGTTGCCCTCGCTCCAACAATGAAAAGCTTGCTGGAAACAAAAGGAAAACGGGCACCATCTCATCAGTTCACATCTTGAAAAGGGCAGCTCTTCCTTTTTGTTTGGTTGGCTAGATCCTAGATCGTTTCCCTGCTGGAAATTGGCAAGTCTAGGGGTGGGAGCGTTGGACCAACCCACGTCGCGTGCCAAACGTACTGAACAAACGGACTGATCAAGTTACCCCTTGGAGCCTTTTACATTGCCAGCCGAATCGTTTGGAGGCAATCGACATGCCCATGAAGAATACTTGGAGACTGGAGAATTCAGGACGGTTGAAAACCACCCCCCTGAAAAACAGAAGACACACAGAAAGACGAACCCATGGATTTGAACCACTATTGCTGAAGGGAAGCCTCCTTCTGTTGTCACTTCACCTAGTCACACACTGCTGCCTTTGTACGATACACACTTCGATCCAGTTGGTTTCCAACCGACCAACCAACCCACCCAGCCACCCGCCCACCCACCCACCCACCCACCCACCAACCAACCTTTAGACCACAGAGCCCCGCTTTTTTCCGGGCGCCCCGTTTGAAGCGACGCCTCCCCCCCCCCGCCGGTCGGGCACATCGCCTTGGTCGCCGCGTCGGGATCCAGGTGAGCCACAATCAAAGCCCGGGTAGATGAAGGTCAGTAAGGGACAATCCCAACCATAAATAGCTGCGAATATCCGCCTTCTTAATTCTTGAAGCATGGTTCTGGGTCGACGATTTGTGTACCTGGTTTTGAGTATGACTCAAATGCTGGTTTTGCTCTTTAAAATTCTCTTGAGAACCAACCAAATGGATCCAGTTGTTCAGTGTCTCCCTTTTTCTCCTCTTCCTTTGGGTGGCTGCCCCACGAAACTGGTCTTCCCCCAAAAAAGGGTTCCCTTTCCCTTTTTTTTTTTCTCCAGGGTCACTGAACCACTGCGTGGTAGATCACTTTGATACCGTTTTCAGCCAGTGCCGATCCATCCAGGTGCAGCTCTTCCTGCGGCGCACGCGCAGCGGGGTGGCGCTGTGGGTCTCGGGGCACCGGGCGCGGGACCTGGACTTCCGGCCCAACGCGGAGGAGGCGAAGTGGATGGCCCAGCAGCGCCTCCGGCGCAGGGGGAACTCACTTCCTGAGTTGAACTTTGAACTTTTTGGGCTTGGACCAGAGTGGTAAATATAAAGTTTGAGCTTTTTTTGGGCCATCCACTCAGCAAGTGAGGGAAAGAGAAAAAGAACCGCAGAGACTACGTCGATGGGTTTTGCCTCTGGACCCTGGAAAACATCGAAGTGGGTATGGCTCAAAATAAAGGAGCCAGGGCCAAACGCAGGTTTTAGGCTTGGGTTCCATTTCCCTTTTGGTGCCATATTCATGGTTGTCGTTGGGAAACATTTGAATCATGTTTGCCTATTGCGGCTTAGTGGGAAATCCATAAACATCTTACCTCTTAAAAACACAACTTTTCAACTGTTTGGGTAACATGGGCTATATGCCTGTAAAAGATTAACTTCCCCAGGGCTTGGAGTCTTAATGCGTAAGACATGGTTGTCGTTGGGAGACATTTTACATGTTTGCCTATTGTGGTTTAGTGGTTGAAATCCAACCACTTAACTGCTAAAAGTTCAATTGTTGCTCCCCTTTCAACGTCAACCAAGTAAAGCAGCGATCCATTTGTTGCGTGACGGTTATTATTCATACATTTATTGTTGTTATGATATTGTTTGTTGTTATTGTTATTGCTTTTATTCAGCGATTAAAACATGAGCAGCGCAACTCATGATTTAGTATTTTGGTGTTTTCGGGCTTTTCCGCTGCGTGCAAGTCGGGGGTTCACTAAGACCTACAAAAACATGTGTTCCCCATAGGTTGTTTTTTTGTTTTTTGTTTTCTCAAAGGGGGAAGGTGTGTTTGTTTGTTGGACTGGAGTCAACAGGGAAAAAGTGCAACCAAGAGGAAACCAAAGAACCCTCGACCTTTTCTTGGTTGCGACGTTTTTCCGAGTGTTTCCTCACAAATACATGATTTCCCAATAGGTTTGTTATTTCGCCTTCAAGCAAGAGAATGTGGGACTTGTCCAATCTAAGTAGCGAAGAATTGCCCATACGGGTTGATTTCCCCCAAGAGGAAACTAACAGGGTATTTGTTTAGACCCCCTGGTTCGATCTGTGGTCTCAAGCTGAGTTTGAGCCCGATTTGTTTGGATCGCTGAGCGTCGAATTTGGCTTTGCGTCAGGAAAGTCACCCGGATCCAGATGAAGGGCTTGAACAACACCGACCTGCTCCCTGGGCGGATTTGTGCACACGCTCGTGGGTCGCTCGTGGTGGATGTGTAGAGACATCAACCTTCGAGTTTGGAGGGGTTTCCCTTCAATTGGCTATGAATTTTAATAAGGGACCCTTTGGTGGACATCATTTAGGTGGATTCATGTCCACCAATCACTTTTGAGGTGGTTCCCTATTAAAATTCATGGCCAATTCTCCGAGGGACCTTTTTGAAGCAATGGACTTTCTGTATGATGCCCTGGGGTCCAACCAATTAGACCTCCTACTCTCAGGCCCGCCTTCCCAAGGTTGCTCCAAGACTAGGCATGAGACCCCGTTTGAAGCAAATGCGGGAGACATGTGCCCGGTTAAAGAGAAAAACGGCAGCGCTGCCCCTCGTTTACCGACAAACACACTCCCAAATATTGCCTTTGTTGCCTATGTCGCCCTTTGGTTTTGCCCCGCTGACATCAAAGGTCAAGTTGTTGCACTGGGTCGAAGACGAAGCCAGTCTCCCTTCGTCTCAGTGTTGTACAAGCTCTTGTTGCTGTTCCGAGAGCGTCGAGCGTTGGTGCTTCGAGCTACATGATGCCAAAAGCGTTTCATTTGCCTGGCACCTGTTTCAAGCAATCGTTGGACTTTCACTTGATTCGTTGTGTATGACCTTCCTTTGACGATATCACAACCGACCAAGTTGCCGGTGCTAGATCATTTGCTAAACATACTCAGGATGCTCTGTGGCTTTGCATTCGTTATTCTGATGTCAATCGTCATGGACGGTCGTGCCACCAGAGGCATCGGGCATTCCGTTTGTGAGCGTTGATACTCCTGGCAGAGGGTTGACACGAGGAATTTTGCGCGGAGGACCAGGCCCCTAATTTAAGGCATACGTCCCCTTTAGGGCTCAATGGGCACGCATACTTCGTCACGATCAGTTTTCCAGCGTTGATCAGAAAAGGATCGGCAAGTGCATTTGCCAAGCTCGGTAGGAAAGCATCGGCGCATGGATAGCTCCTGATTTGCTGACAGGAGGTCCGTCCACTCCCCTCTCTTCAATTTTACCGTCCAATTGAGGTCATACACATTCGCATGCTTGATGTCTTGTGGCTGTACGCTAAACCTGGCGACTCACACCATGTCGTAGTGGTTTGCCTTGCCGTGTGATGGTGCAAACATCACCCTTGGGTTCTCAAATATCACCCTTAGGTCACTGAAACCTTGGGGTCTATCAGGGGTCCTTAAATGTTGTTTGCTTTCGTAGCTTCAACACCTCCTTTGGGTTGCTAAACCGAATTGAGCTTCAGAGGGGTGATGGGGCAGTAAACACGAATTGTGGAGACGGGCGTGTCTCCCTTGGGCGGCTTACCCACCACGTTTTGGCAGAGGCCAATCTGGCTAGGTCCCCCAGTAGTGCTCTTTACCCTTTTGTGACGGAGGGTTCCCCTATTAAAATTGACTACAGAAAAAGAATCGGGTACCCTCACTCTAACCTCTCTGGAGGACCTAGATGAGTTTGTCTGTGGGGATGGAGGACACGATCCTGCCAGGCAAGCGCGTTCCTCGACGAAGGAGGCGCTGCTCTTCCAGGGCGAAGCATTGGACACCTTCGAGCTGCAAGAGACCATTTGCGCGCCGCGGACCTCCAATTGTTTTTCATGTTCTGTTCTTTTTCTGGGGGGGGGGAGGGTCGATGAACCAAAGATGAACAAGCGCGTCAGTTTTCCAAACCGACCGACCTCCAACTTCGTTCCCTTCTTTCAAAACAGGACACCCTGAGCGTGCGCTTTTCTATGTGATTGTTTCTTCTTGCAAAGAAAGCACGCTATGTTTGACACTTTTCCCAAAAACAAAAAGACTGGGGGGGGGGGGGGGTCGATGAACCAAAGAGGAACAAGTTTTCCCCCCAGATAGCTGAAATCTATCGGGGTTCTAACTTGTGATGAATTAACGTGATTTGGGGGAGGGTCGATGAACCAAAGATGAACAATTTGGTTCCCCCCCAGATAGCTGAAATCTATCGGGGTGTAGCCCTGCTCTTGTTTAAGGCGTCGGTTGGCGTTCCGGACTTTTTTGCGGTCGATAGGTCTTTGGGAATCAAGCATGATTCCTCCAAGCTCAGCGAGTCAATTGCTGCAGCTGATGAGGGTTCCTACTGTAGATGGACTAAATCCCTGCACCAGTTGGTTGCTGGTTTACCCCCGTATTCTTGGACTCACTATGAAGGATTCTGTCCATGCACAGTATTTCCAATGTATGAAGTTTTTGTTTCCTTAGATCCTCTGCTCACTTGCAAAAGCGAGTTCGCTTCTGACCGCATCTAAATTTCCCGTGGCCTGACTTTGTTTGAGGCTTAGTACCCTGTCAAAAAAGCGAAGGGAGAACCGAAACCAATGGAACTCCCCCCCACCCACCGGTGCCGTTTCCCAGCCGCAGGAACCCCCGGGTATTCCACAGCCCAAATTCGGTTCGCACCCGAGTTGCCGACCTAAGGAGCAGTTCAACAAGTTCGTGCTGACCAAGGCGCCGCTGGGAAGGAGGAGATGTGTTTGTTTGCTTGCTTGCTTTCTTGCTTGCTGGCTTGTTTGCTTGTTTGCTTGGTTGCTTGGTTGCTTGTTTGTTTGTTTGTTTGTTTGTTTGTTTGTTTGTTGTTTGTTTGTCTGTGTTTTGTTTGCTTGTTTTCTTGCTTCTGCGTTGAGGGTACCCGAATTTGGATTGGGGTTCTGCCGTGTTGGTGTTCTTAAAGTGCACCCTGTTGATGTGTTTGTGTGTGTGTGTTGATTACCTTCTTTACGCTAAACCAACAGGACACTCACCATTTTGGGTGCCCTTACTGCGGATGGACGAAATCCAGCACCTAAGAAACCCTAGAATGATGCGATTCCCCTGTGAAAATACCAACAAACGATCTGGTTTCAACCATGGTTTGAAAGTGGTGCGAAATGGATTTCATCCATCCACAGCAGGTGTGTGTGTGTGTGTGTGAGGTGGCACTGATGAATGATCAGAAACAGAGTGAAGCCGGTGCCGTCTATTTTCCGTGGTTTCAATTTAGTCCGAAATGTAATTCGTCCGTCCACCGTATTTTGACACAAGTGCTGATCTTACAAGGGTCGTGCTTAAGGTAGTTGGAATCTCCCCCACCCGGTCCCCGGTCCACAGTCCACGGCTGCTTTGCTTTTGGAGGGGGGGGAAGGTCCTTTTCAACACGAGCGACAAAGGAAAGGCCTGAGAACATGCATGAGTTTCCTCATGTTCCTAAATCAACTGAGAAAGGTGCCATAGCCTAAACCAACCTTTTAAGGTTGAGGGGAGGGATGTTTATGCAACACTTACAGGGAACCACGATAAACGTTCCTATCATGGCCATGGCCGGCATTCCACTGCGGCTCTACGAAGCTTTGTCAAGAAAAGCTCCGAACATCCATTGCCTAGCGTATCTTGTTTAGCTTTCCTGCCCTGTTTGGTTGTCCGTCATTGTGTATTAACATCAAAAAAAGTTAATATTGCTGCATTCGATCTCAGTCTGGTGCGGAGTTCTTGTTTCGTGAGGTGGTTCGTGTTAACATGAACGGAACTCACCCATTTGCTTGCCAACAAGGAAGCCTAAACACGGGTTTCCATTCGCTTCCTGTGCGCTAGATTCTCAAACTATGATGTGAAGTAACTAGGGAGGGTTGGATGCGCTTTTGTGGATTTCACCTGTTCTTCCCGCTGTTGGTCCTTTTTTAGTAATCTTTAGTACTCTTTTAATATCCTACAGGGGTGGATGCACAAAAGCCACGTCCAAACCGTTTTCTAGATGCTTAATGAGCCGAAAATCATACACTTCTGTTGCTTCTGCTGGATTTGTTTGCGAATCTACTTGTTTCCCAGTAGCAGTGTGGTTACCTGGTTGGCTCATAAATGCTCAAGGGACTCTTCAGTTGCCCAATAAGCTTTACCTGTCTTCCATGCGCTGCGCTGCGCTGGGTCCCCCAACTGCATCCTGAAACAGAAAGCAGATGGACATTAAACTTTTTGGGTTTGGTTGCCATTTCGGTGGTAAACACAGAGTTTAGGCTTTTTTGGGCCGATCGACTCGATGGGACGTGAGACTTTTGCGTGCGATGGTGAGTGATTGTTTCTCATTGATCATCCTTGTCAGATCCAGGTGGCTTCCTGTTGGTTTCAGAGCCACTCTGATGTCATCAGTTTGCTTCAGGTGCAGTATAATTTTACCATACTCATCAGTCAGAACCATTGCACTTCACAACCAGAAACAAAGAACACACTAGCGGTTTCGCTTAAATGGCAGGTATTCTGGGATGGTGGAAGCCCCTTTTTCTTACCAAGAGTCACGCTTTTCCAAAGCTCCGCACCCGCAAGGCACTGGATGTCTTTTCGACCCTTTCTGAACCTCGAGACTAGGAAGTTCGGCCGTGCCCTGCAGTGGGGCTGAGCCGCAGTGGCAAAAATCGATTGGACGGCAAAAAAAAGCTCCACTGACCGACGGATGGATCCTTAAAGCAACCATTTGGAGGGGTTTGCCACATTGCTTGTGAACCCCATTCTTGTTAACCAGTTGGAGAGTAGTTTCGGGGATGTCACGTGAAAGGATTCAAGGATGTTAACCCTTAGGTGGCCAACGACGGCCACCCTTCTCATCTAGCTATGGAGTCTAATAAGGAACCACCTGATCAAAGTGATTGGACATGAACCCCCAATTAAACGACGTCCTCCAAACGGAACCCCTCTTGAATTTCATACTCCTATGGGTGTGTCTTTTTTTAGAGGTGACCTGGTTTTTGTGGCTTTCAAGGAAAACCAAACGGAAAACCCGAAGCTTTTGGGGTGTCTACACGCCCATGTGAGCCACAATCAAAACCTGGGTAGATGAAGGTTAGCAAGGGACAATCCCAACCATAAATAGCTGCGAATATCTGCCTTCTTAGTTCTTGAAGCATGGTTCCGGGTAGACCATTTGGATACCGGGTTTTGATTATGACTCATGTCTCGCCAGGCCTTCGGGCGCAAGAGCACGGCCTCCAGCAGAGCAGTCGAGCTGCGACGGATGCAGGTGGTCCGCGTTACCCGCGAGCTCTTGGACGGCGCCTTGTGGTGGGACGAGTACGACCGCCTGGCGCCCCCGCACGCAGAAGTCCGATTTCCACCCCAGGTGGTGGGCCGTAGGTGTCCTTGTTGGTTGTTTGCTCGAAAAAATGATTGCGATTCCTGGTTTACCTGGCGGTTTAGTCATCTACCAAGGAAACCCATCTATTTCCCCTAAAAGGACACCTATGGTTGTGGGGCTACCTTCCCACAAAAAGGATGCGAGGTAGGCGGCAAGAGCACTTGGAATGTGAATGTGGGCCATTCCCGTTTGGAGCAGTTATATATATATATATATATGTGTATTTATATACATGTGTATGAATGCATCTTACACATTACATGCGGGTATGTACATAAACATGTATATCAATGTATGACATGGGTTTAGTGGCTGTATGGTTGTCACACACTCTGATTGCACCTCGGTTTAGTGTCTAGATGGTGATTGCATACATCAACTTTTTATGGGCTCTGGTATGCGAGAGGGATGGAGTCCCGCTCAGATGCAAGGTGTGTGTCTGTGTCTGTGTCTGTTTTTTTGAGGGTACCCTTCTCGAGGATTGGAGGGACACTGAACGGAACCCACGTGTTTGGAGGCTTCCCCAATTGTGACACAAGCCCACATTCAAATGCCATATTCTTTTCGGAAATCGGTTGGGCGCCCGATTGCCCTTCCAAAATGCCCCTTGCCAGTAGCTACACTTTCACCTTGGTTTTTGTCCGTGATCATGTGACCCTGGGTAAAGGACACCCTTGGAAAAGGCCACTCTTGACACTAGCACTCACTAGCACACCCCAACTTGTGAAATCGAGTTCTGAGATGCTTTGGATCATGGCGCGAAAAGCTTGAGCTGATTGGTGAGTAAGGGCCTCGGCGGATGGGCGGCGTGGAAATGGCGGTGCTCCCACCGATTTCTGCCAGCTCGCATGCCACCAGAGGTGGTCTTTGAGTTGCCCTGATATGGAGAAACGGATCATGGACATAAATCTGCTGCGGGGTGCCCAGTGATTCCATCCGGGGTAGGTAGCTAAGGGCCACCCCAAACCCACCCCACCGCACCCCACAGCACCGCACCCCACCCCACCGCACCCCACCGCACCGCACCCCACCCCACCCCACCGCACCGCACCGCACCCCACCCCACCGCACCTCACCCAACTGTTTCCTAGCTTGTTTGTTTTGGACAACGATGGAACTTGAGTATCCCTTTCAGAGGGTCAAAATCCAGTCGCCCATGGGCTGAAGCGGCGAAGCCTCCGGCACTTGCGAGGTGCGTCACATCCTCGACATCAAGGTGAAGCCGGAATACTTGAAGCATGGCGCAAGTCTTTGCCTCAAATCCTTAATCCCTTTGTTTTTTGTTTCTCTTCGGAAACGTCAACTTATGTGTGTTTTTGCCAACCGGCTTTGCTCGTTGAGAATTACGGGGTAAGTTGCTTATACTTGTCAATTTCTAAAAGACACCAAAGATAATGTGTATTGGTATTGGTCCTGTATTTTTTCCAGACCCCTTGTCTACTTGCCAACTTAGAACCTAAAAGGGAGATCTCAAGGAGATTCCTCTATGATGTCTTGGTTTCTTTCAAGAGTAGCGCTCAAAGGAAGGCGTACTACACCTTGGAGACCAAAGATACCCTGGTGATGCCGTTGAACCGGGTGGCGCCCTCGATCATGTGGCTGGTGGGTCGAATGCTTTGGCCCACCGCCTTCGTGCCTTGGAGAAAAAAAGCTCTTGGCTGGACGAAGTCCCGTTCACACCACGATGGTCAAAAAGAATGGGAAAATGCACCTTTTGGGCTTCAGTTTAAACAAAAAACACAAAAAACAAAAGGGGGTCCCAACTCCAAACATACACACTCATAGCGGTGGATGGATGGATGCGGAATCCCTTCGACCGCGCCACGACGTTGAAACCATGGTGGTATTTTTAGGGGAATCATATCATAGTGTTTCTTAGGTGGTGCGACAATCCGCACCAGTCAGGATACCAGCTGGTTATGTGAGTGACCTTGGTTCTATCAAATGGATTCTGGGATTTCAAACGCATGACCATTTGGTGCAAGCAGACAGTTTCCTGTTACCAGCAAGCAATCAGCCGTGTTTCCTGTTTGGTTGGAGGATACCCACGAAATGTGTATGAGTCAAAATTAAGCCACCAGGGGCAATCCGCAGATTTTCAGTCTTGATTTCCATGCAGGCGCACCTATTTTTGTTTACCTATTTTTGACACCCACGCCCAAAAAAACCAAGGTCCCCCGTTCCCTCAACCCCTTCAACCAACCGTTCACCGCACCGGTAACTGAAAAAACCTTTCAACCCCTTCACCCGTTCACCACAACGGGCTAACGGGGGAAGCAAAAACAACGGCGCCCGGGCGGTTTTCTTTCCTTCCGCGGCTCGAGCGAGGTTTTGATGTGCCGCCACTTCGACCTTTGGCCGGAAGTCTTCGACCTCTCCGCCTCGCTGCCCGCCAAGGACGCCGCCGACATCGCCGACAAGGCGACGGGTGACGGGCGGAAGGGCCGACGCAAACCAGGGGGACACGCAGTGATTTTTTTTTTTTGTGAGTTGTGGGAAATGGATTTTGTTAAACTTGTTTTTCAAGTGTGTGTTTTTGTTGGGGGGGTAACCCTGATTTTGGGAGTACTTGGGTTCATGCATGTTTTAGGCAGATGACTGCTGGCCGGGACATGTAACTTGCGCTCAGATTGGGACTTAATTCAGATGGTGTGCACCATGGTGTGAGAAAGATGTATCAGAATGTTGCGCAGAATGCGCTGCTCCTGCTCAAATATACACAAAACTATTATTTGTTTGTCAAAAGTTGGATTATCGTTTCGGTTCACCCATCATTCATCCCTGGAAGGAAGGGGAGAGAAAGGTACAAACACAAATTGCGCAGAATCCTTGCGCATCGCTTTGCACCAAAAGTGCGGGGCAGGTCGAAGCGACGAGGTCCTTTGAACAAGTCAAATGCAGCAAAAGCAAGGGCCACTGCGGAGAGATGCTGGCCAAGCTGAAATATGAGCTCCCTCCCCCACAATTTGCAGATGATTTTACGGCTATCCGGTATCCGTGAATCCCTTTGCAATCAACGTCACTTGTGCGCCCAGGTTTTTGGTTTTTGCTTGCTTGCTTGTTTGTTTGTTTATTGATATTGTTGTTTGTATTGTTTGTTTGTTTGTTTGTTCGTTCGGTCGGTTGGTTGGTGGGTTTCCTCGGTTACCAATGTGGAAATTCTGCTTCGGAGTTCACCAGTACACACCAAGACCTGGTTATGGGGGTTTGAGGCTAGGACTATGGCTTTCGCTTAGCCCGTCATAAGATGGCCACTGATTTGTTCGGTCCAAAAGTGCAGTCAATGTGGATGGACGAAATCCATTTCGCACCGCTTTGAAACCATGGTTGGAACCATTGATGGTTGGTATTTACGTAGGGGAGCCGATGATCATTCCTGGGTTTCTGAACGGTGGTGCGAGAAGCGGATTTCGCCACCATCCACAGTCCGAAGAGCTCTGCCCAGGGAGAGCGAACACAGTCCATGTCCTTATCGCAGCGATAAGGTAGGATTTTCCGAGTCCGGGTGTTGGGAATGAACCGTTTTTTGTTGCGGATTCGCGGATAAAGGCGATTGATTATAAGGGGTCATTCCAATTCTCATTCCCTGCCTAAGTATCGAACCAGCAAGTTTTGGGAGGCACATGTCTTATGAGAGTTCCGAGGTGTGAAGAACCCTTTTCATGTTCCCCACGCAGGGAACATGGAGCCTTAAGGAGCTCCCCCGTGTACCTCTCTTGTAGGATCCTACACATTCAGAGCCGAGTCGGTCCAATTTTGACAGAGCAATCTTGGGCAAGCTTTTCAAGCCCGCCAAAAGAAATCCCCGGGAATACATACATATATGTGTATATATATATATATGTGTTTCCTCGTTCAAGCAATCATGGATTGTGAACATATTGCAAGCGGGAACTAAGAAAGGCTCCGTGATTTACCATGGCTTAGTTTCCCTTTTTGGGACCTCCAACCGTGGCAGTTTCAATGGACACCACCAGTGAATTACATTTTTTGAACCGGTGTTAGGCTTAGCGCACTTGCAACTCTACTGTGCCTATGTGGCACTGAAGCTGAGTATGGCCTCCTTGAGCTGACAGAATCCCCTAGGCTTCCGATGTGCGCAGACTCCTTTCAGAGTGACACAAAGGGGCCTGATCATTTCCGTCTAGGTCCCCCAGTAGTGCCCTTTTACCCTTTCTTGGCGGAGGGTTCCCGTACTAAAATAGACTACAGAAAAAAAGGGCACCAACTTATTCTAACCTCTTGATTGGAGGACCTAGCCGTGTTGTTTTTGTTGGTTGGAGGGGGTGAACGCCAGGTGAGGGATGAGCAGTATGACCTCCTGGAGGAAGAGGCGCTGTCCTGAGCTGATCGTGAGTGAACTTCGCGTAAGGGATCGATTTCGGTATTTTTGTTCAGTGCCTCCTTGTCTTCCATTCGCTTAAGAATATGGTTTATTTTCCCTTTTTGGTTTTAAAAGGAATTATCACGACTGGAAATATTGTTTAAACAAAATCCGGGGGTCTTAACCAAATGGAAGTTGTGAAAAGGGGGAAGGTGCGAAACAAGAGGTTTGCAAGGTGAAAAAAACTGGTTCGGTGAGAAGAAAAGGTCAAGGTGAAGAGTAAAGGTACCCAAAACGGGGGGCGGCGGGAGGGAAGAGGCAAACAATTCTGCCAACACTCTCGATATGACAACGGCCATCACCCAAAGGCCCCACACAGGTGCATTAATGTTGACCCCATATGGGTATGGGTCAAAATAAAACCACCAGTGACCGCAGGTTTTGGTCCATGTTACCACTTACCAGGGTTCCATTTGACCATTTGGGGTACCTATTTTTTGACCCACAGCCATATGAATAAACCCCAGTTTATGAATAGGGGGCTGTCCCCGGGTTTACGGGACATCAGACCACTTTTGGAGGGGAACACGCCCCCTGGTAATGAACTCGTTGGTTGAAATTCATATGGGGTCAACATTACTCACTTGTCCAGACCCTTTCCTGATGGTCCATGGTTTGTCAAGATTGGCCAGCTATGCCCATGCCCGTTGGGCGAGCGAATTTGGATACCATAGCCATCTCCCAGTGGGGGAGAGTCAACATGCGAGCACGCCTTAGCCTTCCTGATGTACGAGCTGTCTGACACCGTGCAATTTGTGTTTCAGCGTTGCGCTTCCAGAGATTTCGACCTAACTTGGAGCCAGCAAGATTCCTATTGGCTTGGGCCCCTTAAAAGTGGCCTTTGCAGTCCAAAGCCTTCCAAGGTCCGGTTCGACCCCTTCAATGGAGGGTCCTGTCTGATGCTTTGGGTGGCACCCTTTGACTTTTTTTTTTTCACTGTACTAGGTGAACCCCAAGTCTTAGAATGGGGTTCGTTGCCTGTCTCCGCCCTTCGGGTCTTTGGACAACTCTGGGGGGAGGGGGGGATGGCAACAAAAAGTCTACAAGCTGTGCTTGTCTCCACACTGGGCAAGCCTTTTTTGTAAAATTCAATTGATTCGAACCCCCCTTTCCGTTTCTCTTCAAACCCAACCTAGGTGGAGCAGACTGAGCGCGAGCCCCTACAGCTCCGCGCGGGCTTTGCGAACGCTGTGAAGGCACTGGAGAAAGAGTACTACGACCAGGCGCGAAGGAACTGCGAAGACGCCTTTCCGAGAGCCAAGCATGGAGCGTCGATGGCCTTGTTTGGACCTTGGACTGGCTTTCCCTTCAAGAACTGGACGTTGTACGGCTCATGAATAACAAGACCCCAGGAGAAGAGCGCATCCCTTCAGAACTGTTCAAGCGGCTTTAAGAGAATAGACAGATGCACCCACGGGCGAACGCATGCCTCCAACGGGAAGAAATGCAACAGTACCACACGAACCAGCGCCTTGATTCATAAGAAAGGATATTCACATTTGCTTGCAAACTGGTACTGGTGAAAGAAAGGCCAGACATTGGCTTGAGTACTGCCACTCAGTTCAGTTTAAGAAAAGGAGAAGCACCTCTCAGGTTACTTTTATAGCCAGAAGGTTTTTATTGTCCAAGAGGCACACAAATACTTTTTGCTTGGGAAAAGGCTTTCGACAAGATGATTGAAATGATGTACAGGCTACAGGCAAAAGGTGAGCGTGGGAGAGAGCACAATCTACGATTATACAGGGGTGTTGGAGTTTTCTTCAGCATCTTGTACCATGGCTTTTGTGGGTTATAACCAGGCCTACTGACCACTTCCTAAGTACCTCCCTTCAACAGGGCTCCTTAAAAGATACATTTTGACAATTTGAAACATGTTGCTTTTTCCACCAAAAAAACAGGTGGACACCACCAATTACAAGTTGCAATGTCAGGTGTTTTTCATGTAAGGATCCCTGTTTAAGTACTCCCGCGGTCCCTGTCCCGACTCCACGGGTCTCGAGCTTCGCCCAGAACGCCGAGGTGAACCGCGAGATCGGGTTCCAGGTCCGCGAGCAGGGCGCGGACCGGCGGAAGCTGCGCACGCTGAAGGAGAAGAAGGCGAGTCGTCTTTTGGTCCTCAAGAAGCGAAGAAGCCCTGGATGTGGTCTCTGCCCGAGTTTGTTTTTTGCTCGTGGTTGTGGATGTGGTCTCTGCCCGAATTTGTGTTTTGCTCTGGGGTGGTTATGGATGTGGTCTCTGCCCGAGTTTGTTTTTTGCTCGTGGTTGTGGATGTGGTCTCTGCCCGAATTTGTGTTTTGCTCGTGGTTATGGATGTGGTCTCTGCCCGAGTTTGTTTTTTGCTCGTGGTTGTGGATGTGGTCTCTGCCCGAATTTGTGTTTTGCTCTGGGGTGGTTATGGATGTGGTCTCTGCCCGAGTTTGTTTTTTGCTCGTGGTTGTGGATGTGGTCTCTGCCCGATTTGTTTTTTGCTCTGGGGTGGTTATGGATGTGGTCTCTGCCCGAGTTTGTGTTTTGCTCTGGGGTGGTTATGGATGTGGTCTCTGCCCGAATTTGTGTTTTGCTCTGGGGTGGTTATGGATGTGGTCTCTGCCCGAATTTGTTTTTTGCTCGTGGTTGTGGATGTGGTCTCTGCCCGAGTTTGTTTTTTGCTCGTGGTTGTGGATGTGGTCTCTGCCCGAATTTGTTTTTTGCTCGTGGTTGTGGATGTGGTCTCTGCCCGAATGTGTGTTTTGGTCTCTTTGTTTTTTGCTCGTGGTTATGGATGTGGTCTCTGCCCGAATGTGTTTTTTGCTCTGGGGTGGTTATGGATGTGGTCTCTGCCCGAGTTTGTTTTTTGCTCGTGGTTGTGGATGTGGTCTCTGCCCGAATTTGTGTTTTGCTCTGGGGTGGTTATGGATGTGGTCTCTGCCCGAGTTTGTTTTTTGCTCGTGGTTGTTGATGTGGTCTCTGCCCGAATTCTGTGTTTTGCTCTGGTGGTTGTGGATGTGGTCTCTGCCCGAATTTGTGTTTTGCTCTGGGGTGGTTATGGATGTGGTCTCTGCCCGAATTTGTTTTTTGCTCTGGGGTGGTTGTGGATGTGGTCTCTGCCCGAATTTGTGTTTTGCTCTGGTTGTGGATGTGGTCTCTGCCCGATTTGTTTTTTGCTCTGGGGTGGTTATGGATGTGGTCTCTGCCCGAGTTTGTTTTTTGCTCGTGGTTGTGGATGTCGTCTCTGCCCGAATTTGTGTTTTGCTCTGGGGTGGTTATGGATGTGGTCTCTGCCCGAATTTGTTTTTTGCTCTGGGGTGGTTGTGATGTGGTCTCTGCCCGAATTCTGGGCTCTGTGGTTATGGATGTGGTCTCTGCCCGAATTGGTTTTTTGCTCTGAGGTGGTTGTGGATGTGGTCTCTGCCCGAATTTGTGTTTTGCTCTGGGGTGGTTATGGATGTGGTCTCTGCCCGAGTTTGTTTTTTGCTCGTGGTTGTGGATGTGGTCTCTGCCCTGATTTGCTGCTCAGGAGGGGTGGTTATGGATGTGTCTCTGCCCGAATTTGTTTTTTGCTCTGGGGTGGTTGTGATGTGGTCTCTGCCCGAATTTGTGTTTTGCTCTGGGGTTGTTATGGATGTGGTCTCTGCCCGAGTTTGTTTTTTGCTCGTGGTTGTGGATGTGGTCTCTGCCCGATTTGTTTTTTGCTCTGGGGTGGTTATGGATGTGGTCTCTGCCCGAGTTTGTTTTTTGCTCTGGGGGGGTTGTGGATGTCGTCTCTGCCCGAATTTGTGTTTTGCTCTGGGGTGGTTATGGATGTGGTCTCTGCCCGAATTGGTTTTTTGCTCTGAGGTGGTTGTGGATGTGGTCTCTGCCCGAATTTGTGTTTTGCTCTGGGGTGGTTATGGATGTGGTCTCTGCCCGAATTTGTTTTTTGCTCTGGGGTGGTTGTGGATGTGGTCTCTGCCCGAATTTGTGTTTTGCTCTGGGGTTGTTATGGATGTGGTCTCTGCCCGATTTGTTTTTTGCTCTGGGGTGGTTATGGATGTGGTCTCTGCCCGAGTTTGTTTTTTGCTCTGGGGGGGTTGTGGATGTCGTCTCTGCCCGAATTTGTGTTTTGCTCTGGGGTGGTTATGGATGTGGTCTCTGCCCGAATTGGTTTTTTGCTCTGAGGTGGTTGTGGATGTGGTCTCTGCCCGAATTTGTGTTTTGCTCTGGGGTGGTTATGGATGTGGTCTCTGCCCGAATTTGTTTTTTGCTCTGGGGTGGTTGTGGATGTGGTCTCTGCCCGAGTTTGTTTTTTGCTCTGGGGTGGTTATGGATGTGGTCTCTGCCCGAATTTGTGTTTTGCTCTGGGGTGGTTATGGATGTGGTCTCTGCCCGAATTTGTGTTTTGCTCTGGGGTGGTTATGGATGTTGTCTCTGCCCGAATTTGTGTTTTGCTCTGGGGTGGTTGTGGATGTAGTCTCTGCCTGAATTTGTTTTGCCTGAATTGCCCGTGTTTTTTGCTCGTTTGCGTCTGCCCGGTTGCTCGTGGTTGTGGATGTGGTCTCTGCCCGAGTTTGTTTTTTGCTCGTGGTTGTGGATGTGGTCTCTGCCCGAATTTGTTTTTTGCTCGTGGTTGTGGATGTGGTCTCTGCCCGAATTTGTTTTTTGCTCGTGGTTGTGGATGTGGTCTCTGCCCGAGTTTGTTTTTTGCTCGTGGTTGTGGATGTGGTCTCTGCCCGAGTTTGTTTTTTGCTCGTGGTTGTGGATGTGGTCTCTGCCCGAATTTGTTTTTTGCTCGTGGTTGTGGATGTGGTCTCTGCCCGAATTTGTTTTTTGCTCGTGGTTGTGGATGTGGTCTCTGCCCGAATTTGTTTTTTGCTCGTGGTTGTGGATGTGGTCTCTGCCCGAATTTGTTTTTTTGCTCGTGGTTGTTGGTTTGGTCTCTGCCCGAATTTGTTTTTTGCTCGTGGTCGTGGATTTGGTCTCTGCCCGAATTTGTTTTTTGCTCGTGGTTGTGGATTTGGTCTCTGCCCGAATTTGTTTTTTGCTCGTTGTTGTGGATTTGGTCTCTGCCCGAATTTGTTTTTGCTCGTGGTTGTGGATGTGGTCTCTGCCCGAATTTGTTTTTTGCTCGTGGTTGTGGATTTGGTCTCTGCCCGAATTTGTTTTTTGCTCGTTGTTGTGGATGTGGTCTCTGCCCGAATTTGTTTTTTGCTCGTGGTTGTGGATGTGGTCTCTGCCCGAGTTTTTTTTTGCTCGTGGTTGTGGATTTGGTCTCTGCCCGAATGTATTTTTTGCTCGTGGTTGTGGATTTGGTCTCTGCCCGAATTTGTTTTTTGCTCGTGGTTGTGGATGTGGTCTCTGCCCGAATTTGTTTTTTGCTCGTGGTTGTGGATGTGGTCTCTGCCCGAATTTGTTTTTTGCTCGTGGTTCTGGATGTGGTCTCTGCCCGAATTTGTTTTTTGCTCGTGGTTGTGGATGTGGTCTCTGCCCGAATTTGTTTTTTGCTTGTGGTTGTGGATGTGGTCTCTGCCCGAATTTATTTTTTGCTCGTGGTTGTGGATGTGGTCTCTGCCCGAATCTGTTTTTTGCTCTGGGGTGGTTGTGGATGTGGTCTCTGCCCGAGTTTGTGTTTTGCTCTGGGGTGGTTATGGATGTGGTCTCTGCCCGAATTTGTGTTTTGCTCTGGGGTGGTTGTGGATGTGGTCTCTGCCCGAATTTGTTTTTTGCTCGTGGTTGTGGATGTGGTCTCTGCCCGAGTTTGTTTTTTGCTCGTGGTTGTGGATGTGGTCTCTGCCCGAATTTGTTTTTTGCTCGTGGTTGTGGATGTGGTCTCTGCCCGAATTTGTTTTTTGCTCGTGGTTCTGGATGTGGTCTCTGCCCGAATTTGTTTTTTGCTCGTGGTTGTGGATGTGGTCTCTGCCCGAATTTGTTTTTTGCTTGTGGTTGTGGATGTGGTCTCTGCCCGAATTTATTTTTTGCTCGTGGTTGTGGATGTGGTCTCTGCCCGAATCTGTTTTTTGCTGTGGTTGTGGATTTGGTCTCTGCCCGAGTTTGTGTTTTGCTCGTGGTTGTGGATGTGGTCTCTGCCCGAATTTGTGTTTTGCTCTGGGGTGGTTGTGGATGTGGTCTCTGCCCGAATTTGTTTTTTGCTCGTGGTTGTGGATTTGGTCTCTGCCCGAATTTGTTTTTTGCTCGTGGTTGTGGATGTGGTCTCTGCCCGAGTTTGTTTTTTGCTCGTGGTTGTGGATGTGGTCTCTGCCCGAATTTGTTTTTTGCTCGTGGTTGTGGATTTGGTCTCTGCCCGAATTTGTTTTTTGCTCGTGGTTGTGGATGTGGTCTCTGCCCGAATTTGTTTTTTGCTCGTGGTTGTGGATTTGGTCTCTGCCCGAATTTATTTTTTGCTCGTGGTTGTGGATGTGGTCTCTGCCCGAATTTGTTTTTTGCTCTGAGGTGGTTGTGGATTTGGTCTCTGCCCGAATTTGTTTTTTGCTCGTGGTTGTGGATTTGGTCTCTGCCCGATTTTGTTTTTTGCTCTGGGGTGGTTGTGGATGTGGTCTCTGCCCGAATTTGTTTTTTGCTCGTGGTTGTGGATTTGGTCTCTGCCCGAATTTATTTTTTGCTCTGGGGTGGTTGTGGATTTGGTCTCTGCCCGAATTTGTTTTTTGCTCGTGGTTGTGGATTTGGTCTCTGCCCGATTTGTTTTTTTGCTCTGGGGTGGTTGTGGATTTGGTCTCTGCCCGAATTTGTTTTTTGCTCGTGGTTGTGGATGTGGTCTCTGCCCGAGTTTGTTTGTTTGGTCTGGGGTGGTTGTGGATTTGGTCTCTGCCCGAATTTGTGTTTTGCTCTGGGGTGGTTGTGGATTTGGTCTCTGCCCGAATTTGTTTTTTGCTCTGGGGTGGTTGTGGATGTGGTCTCTGCCCGAATTTGTGTTTTGCTCTGGGGTGGTTATGGATTTCGTCTCCGCCCGATTTTTTTTTTTGCTCTGGAGTGGTTGTGGATTTGGTCTCTGCCCGATTTTGTTTTTTGCTCTGGGGTGGTTGTGGATTTGGTCTCCGCCCGAATTTGTTTTTTGCTCTGGGGTGGTTGTGGATTTGGTCTCTGCCCAATTCTTTTTTTGCTCTGGGATGGTTGTGGATTTGGTC